ACCAAATTGCGACTAAGGGACTCTAAACATATAATGTCATAATTTGGCCATGGGGCCACCTTGCAAGATAATCTGCGAAGCAAAATATAAAACTGAATGGAAACTAGTACTGACTAAACATCAATATAAAGTTTGCCCGACAAGGCCGTCATAACTACTACAACTGACAAACCACCAAAATATACATACCAGGCCTAGAATCCCAACATAGTGCACTAACTGACAAGATATGTCTACAAGCCTCTACTGATGGATATATTATGATCGGAACATGGCCCCGACCTACCCATAACATATATACATACATACAAAAGATGTAGACGAAAACTTAGACCCGATAACTCCGAAGGACTTGGAGCTTACCGATCAGGCTGAACTCTGAAAACACCTACTAAGAAGGTCTACCCGTCTGTCTATCTGAACCTGCACGCATGAAATACAGCGTTCCCAGAAAAGGGACGTTAGTATAAAATAATGTACCGAGTATATAAGGCAATACCATAACTGAAAGTTAAAACTGAACTGATAATTTAATAATTGAAAGTAATTGAGAGTCAAAGATGATCTGGAGATATACTTACTTGTTGATACTGACTCAGCTCCTTCAATATAGTAAGTAAAATAATTGTCTGGCCTTATAAGGCTCGGTATATATTACTGCTCTGCCGTAGTAGGCTCGCTCATAGGCACTCGGCCATACTAGGCTATGTATCTCGGCCATGCTGGCTCGCTCATAGGCGCTCGGCCACAGTAGGCTCGGTATATAACTTTCTATTCGATCAGAGGTTGCCCAATAGGGGCCTGCCCATCGATTATAGCTCGATGGTAATGAAAATACTGTAATACTGTATATATAGGCTTGCTGCTCTCTTGATTGGAAGAAGACAATACTAAATTGAATATAGAGTCTCGATAAGGAATGATATTGTAACTTATGAGACTAGAATAATGTGAATAAATTCATGAATACGAACTACTCTTTATGTCTCATTACTAACACATGTAGCTAGGAGATCATGCCAAAATGAAGGAAGGCTTAGCCTTAATATACCTTATCACACTCTTTCCAATCACCAAGTTGAACTCGCCTCTTCTCACCTTAATCTACAAGNCCCAATCTCTTCATACACGAAACAACTACCGTAGTAGTGTCAACAACCCCGAAAATATTACGACGAACGACCAGCCCAATATCCTGCATTTATGTGGTGTTTCTCCACACCCTTCCTCCTCCAAAACTCCACAAAACAGTAGTAAATCACGCAGCCCAATAGCAATACCAAACAGTCCACAAAACAATCCATAAAACAGTCCGCTACAAGTGAATAACTCAAACTCACGGCTTCCGATTACCGTCCCGTGAGTTCTTACAAATATAGAATAACTTTCCATGCATCTACAACTGTAAAGAATGAATGAAAGAGAGCAGTAAACTTACCTTATTTGTGGGATAACTCAGTTCCTATCTTGGTTCTTCAAACTCTAGGCTTTACCTCCAATTAGAACTTGAAAGGGAGAGAAAATCAATTGGGGTTTGTGAGAAATCTTTAGGAGGATTTTTGCAGAAATTAAGTCTGGTTATTTTGCCCTATTATCATCCTAATATATGAAGGGGATAAGCCTTTAAAAAGGCCTCTTTGAGCGAGCTGAACTGGCCCAGTTTTGGACGACCCGAACTGACCCAGTTTTGGATTCTCGTTTAAGCAAGTAGGTGACAGTCTGTGCAGTCTCGCAAAAATGCACATATCTCTCTACTCCGATTTCGTATTGACAAACGGTTTAATGCGTTGGAAAGTAGACTCATAGATCTTTAATTTGATAGGTGGAACACCCCATAAATCTAAGTATATTGGGAGAAAATCGCAGTTACATTTGACCTAAAGTTTCAGTAAAACTTATGAACGTAACTTGTGATGACTTTCATCGACTTTTGTTCCACCACTCGTTTGACTTCAAAACATAACACACGACTATCATACTAATAACATAACTCGTAACATAACCTCCTTATCATGTAAAACACTCTGGTCTCATCCCAAAAGTATATGCTATAACATTCTCAATTTGTCGGCTTTCGACGAAACATTATTTTCTTCAATTCCTTTAGTTTCTAAACCTTCCAACTCTCTTTGTACTTATTGTTCATGATATTCAATATTATTAACTTTCGAAGTAACATGATTAACTTGCTTTATATATTTTTAAAAATGATCTCATTTTTGGATCCTACATTAGTTTGCTCACGATGCAGTTTTACATAAAAAAAAAAATAAAAAAATATAGGGTGTAACATATGCTTTAGGGAAAAGGTGCCTGACTTCTTCCACGTATCACTGAATCATCGAGTTTTGTGGGTAAATTCTTGAAACTTGGTCAATAAAATACATGCAGGACCCAAACTGTTGCTTCTAATATAAGAGAAAAATAATGGGTACATTCAATCCACGCATACAGATCCAAAATAGGTGTGTTCCCAATATTGGATGTTTGATATCAAATAATTTACTTCTGAAAGTTAAAAGTTGTAAATTAAAGTGAAAATATATACTACCAGTTAATCACAATTAAGTAGTAAATGGAAAAGGATCATGACCGAAAAAGAATATTAAGGAAATCATCGAGTAAATAAAAATTATACCTTCTCTAAGATTTTAATTTCTTACATGTGATGATAATACAATTCAACATATTATTAGGTCATAAATCTAAATCTACTCTTTATCAAAAGTAATTTACACGTCTTTATCTTTGGGGTTGTTACACAAATAGCAAATCATATTTACTGTTTATTTTTTGTAGTAGGTATATATATTGTGCGTTTGGACATAAGAACTGTAAAATTCCAAAAAAGTGAAAAAAATTTCAAGTGAAAATGATATTTGAAAATTAGAGTTGTGTTTGGACATGAATATAATTTTGGGTTGTTTTTGAAGTTTTGTGAGTAATCTGAGTGAAAATTTTGAAAAACAGCTTTTTGAAATTTTTTAAAAATTCCAAATGCATCTTCAAGTGAAAATTGAAAATTTTATTAACAAATGTTGATTTCGAAAAAAAGTGAATTTTTTTTTTTTTTTTAAAAAAGGAAAAAATTTCTTATGTCCAAACGGGCTCATAAATTATTCGTCAGCTATTTTGAGTTTAACAAATTAGATGGACAATTATTTGAGTTAATTGTTCAAGATACTATGCACTCCCTGACAACTTCAATTTTTGAAAGAGATTATTACACATTAAAATTCATACAAATAACACGTATCTTATAGGTTTGGAGTAAATTTTTTTTTTCTTGTATGCTATATTATTATGTGCATAACTTACTAAAATTTTTATCGTCCTATTTTACTAACATCCGAAATTAAAGTCTAGCTTATTTCGTGAGTTTCCCGTCTTTCACTAGTGAAGTGAAATGCTTAAACACCATCGATAACATAGTAAGTAGTAGTATTCCTTTTCCCTTTCCATCCTTCCTCACCTCTGGGGTAATAAGTTTTTATTTTTTTTAAAAAAACCATACCCCACATCGCCCTCATCCAAAAGATAAAAAATGGGCACAGAATTCAAAAAAGCCAGAAGTGAAAACATATTTGTTGTAATTGTCCTATTTGTAAATAATTTTCCAAATTGGGACACGTTTAAAATTGGTACTCTAATTAGGAATGCAAAAACGTGTGGCAAATTTAAATTTACCGTGTCTTTTCCGCCGCATCTGGTATATGTAGGCCTTCGTATTAACATCCTTTCTAAATTCAGCCTAAATAACTGGCAGTGCTCCATTGGCAACAACCGTTACTGTATTAAAATCACTCTTTATATTGACTTTCTTTTTTCCACTGAAATTCTTGAGTGTTAACCCTTTTCGACAGTTTCTTGGTTTATCCCTCTGGTGATTCAAACATGGATACTGAATCGGGTAAATCCTTGTCTTATTTCTGTGAAATTGTTCCACGTTAAATTATTCATTAGCCTCTCGAACTAGTTCGGTATTTGGAACTCACTTGATCTAATTGATTAATTAGAGTTCTTTCTTGGTCTTGTTTTTGTTATTTTCTTTGTAATTATTAGAATTCTGTAAGAAAAACACATGTAAAAATTTCTGATGGATTTGGGTTTTGTGTAGTGATTGAGTTCTTGGGTGACGTGCCATTGTTGCAGAGGCTGCCTAGTTCTTCCCTCAGAAAAATTGCCCAACTCGTCAAGGTTAAACATTATGGTAATTTCGTTCTTATTTTTCCCGAGTCTCCCATAACTTTGAACTTAGTACTTTTTATACTGTCCTATATAGGTATGACCTTCAGAAGTTATCAGGAACTGAATTTTATGTTTGTTGTATTAACATAACAGTGAAGGATTTAATATTTGACTAATCAGTGTATAGTTAATGACACAGCGTGATAGTATCAGAGTTTCAGCTATAGTACTTCTCTACTAGGTTGCTCAATGTTTGATAAAGTCTAATAATCTCTCTTGTTATACAGGAATCTTCTACCTAAAATGAAATAATTATAGTTTATAGTGGATTTATTTTCCTTATAACTATAACAAGACAATGAAGATTCTTTATCTGCCAATTTATAGCTATTTTATTTCTCTTTTTGGAGAGTTAACACATTTTAGCTCTTATTTCTACTTCTTGGAAGTGGAATGGTTGCTGTTCCTTTAGGGGGTAACAGAAAGACTTGGGGCATTTGCTTCTGGTCATGTGGCCTATACCAGTTGGAGAATCCATTTTTTCGGGTTGTCTTCTGGCCATATTGCTAGGCTGGAGCAAGACATAGATATTGCAATTCAATAAGTCTGATAAAAGATATAAGATCATGATTGACACATCTCTTTTTTTTTTTTTCCAATTCATTTTGTGTTTTCATTGCAGATCGTGGAGATTATGTAATCCGCGAAGGGGAAGCTGGGGATGGAGTTTACTTCATATGGGATGGAGAGGTATATCTGAGTGTTATTTTTGCTGTAGTTGTTCTGGATGTATATGAATATAAGTCATGAGATTGAACTTTTCTATTATTATGGTAATACTATTTCCAGGCTGAAGTCCGGGGTTTCAGCCAGGCTGATGATGAAAATCGTCCTGAATTCCAGCTGAAAAAACTTGATTATTTTGGTCATGGTGAGATGCACTTTCTCATCTTCATATATATTTTGTGTCTCTTGATTTTCTCTCAATCCCAACTTCCAAATTCGAGGAATTTTTAAATTGACTATCTTGCCCTGTTATGGCCGCTACTCAAGTGTAATAACTATTTGCTGTATAATATTTTATATGTCTCTTTAGAGTTCAGATTNCGTATAAATATTTTATATGTCCGCTTTAGAGTTCAGATTCAGTTACTATCCCTCTGCAGGTCTCCTTTTTGGCCTCTCTTAGTAGTACAGTGATGTTCTAGCACTTTTAGACTTTCAATCTTAATGTTTGGTTAAATCAAAAGTGGTGGGTGATAACACGGTTCCGATGTTATGGCAGGTTTAGCGACATCTAGACAGCAAGCCGAGGTGATCGCATTGTCTAAGGTACTGTCTCTTTCCAACTATGCAACAGTTTTCTTTCCGTATTTACTTCATGATGTCCAAAGCATTCTGCATCTAATGTTGTAGTTATGTTAAACTTTCTCTAATGGCAGCTGACATGCTTTGTGCTGCCTCATGAGCATAATAATCTGCTCCAGCCCAAATCAATCTGGAACGCAGACAAAGAAAGAGATAAGTGCCCACTTGTGGAGCGCATATTGCACTTGGATTCTATAGAAGTATGTTATTCATAACCTAATCATTGACCTCCCGTTCCTTTTACTTAATATGTTGGCCATGAAGTTTTTGTATTCTTTCCTTATTTCTATTTGTTAAACTTACTTATCTATGCCAATTTATGTACCTAAGTTAGCCTCCTATGAGATGCTATGGCCTTTAACAAAATTTTGGAGTTTAATCTCCATCATGTTTCTGGCTTTGGAACCTGTACGCATGATTCTCAATGCTTAAGCTTTCTCTCCCCTTTCCTCCCCATCTAGAGATATGGGCCTGCACCTGTTAGCTGATGGTGTTAACTAGCGAGTAGTTCGGATTGTAAAGGCAAATGGGTTTCCCTGCATGTTAGAAAAAAGAGACTTCATTGACTTGTATCCAGAAGATACTGCTAATAAGTGGCTTTGAGTTCTTAACTACTTGGAACTAATAGAGGATCCTTTTTTTTTTTTGGTTTAAAAGACTACATTCTATTAATTAACGAGGTAATACAGGGAGCATCTGCTTAGAAGCAGTTGTACAAAAAGTTTGAACGACACTACTGTTGCTGTTTGCATGTGGATGGTCAGCGCCATGTTGAGCTACTGCTCTATTACAAAAAGATGGTTTTTGTTGTTACTACAGAAGCTACCAAAAAAGGGTTACAAAAAGGAACTGTTGAGCATGGTGTTGTAGGAGTGGTTGTAGGAATGTGCCTACGTCTGCGGCATCCCCATTTATCTTCAAGCATGTCTTCCAGTAGAAAGTTTGGTGGAGTTGGCAAAAAGGTGATGTTGCTGCCCATCATTTCCATTCCAAAATGTGCTAGTCTATCTGCTACTGTGTACAGCTCCCTGTAAGTGTGAACTATGGACGTATCACTCATTGACTGGATCAGGGATCTGCAATCATTAAGCAAATGTGAGTGTATTGTGGATGTACTGGTAAGCATGGTAACTACCTCTGTGGCGTCCGTGTGGATTTGAAGTGGTGTGAGGTTGTGAGCTGCTGCTAGTTGTAATTCTCGAAACAGTGCCATGAGTTCTATATTAATGACGTTAGTTGCGGGATAGTTTCTAGCATAGCCCATCACCCAATCCCCATTTGTATCTCTGAACACCCCCAAACCCAGCATTATTATTAGACGCTTTGAGTGCCCCATCATTGTTTAATTTGAAATAGCCCATTGGAGGGGGTTCCCATTTAATATACATTGGTAATGATTGTTTTTTATGTGGAACTATTGGTTAGATAATAAAACTCGGTTGCAAGTTGAGTTATAGAAGTAATGTTGGGTGTACATTTGGAATGTTCGAAGATGTTTTTATTTCTAATATTCCACAAATGCCATAAAGTGAATGGAAAAATTATATGATGAGGTATTGAAGCTCTAGTGGTGAAACTATGTGGTCAGATAATTTTTTTGAGCCGCTCATAGTTGGGAAGTGTTGCATACTTAATATTTTGTATGAAACTTCCCAATTTCATGGCCTGCCAACAGTGTCTTGCGTTAGGGCAGTTGAATAGAATATGGCTAATTGTTCTTTGTGTACTTGGCATAGAGTACATAGGTTGGAAGAGAGGATTCCGAGTCTATGTAGGTAGGAGTTGGTTGGAAGACGGTTATGGCTTATTAACCAAAGGAATGATTTAATTTTTGGTGGTAAGTTTAGCCTCCATATCCATCCATGAAGATTTGGAAATTGAGTGGAGTGTGTGAGCACTTTATAGCAAGAACTAACTGTGAATTGGCCTATTGGGCTAAGGCCCCAAATGATGCAATCTGGGCGAATTGAATTGAACGGTAAATAAACACTATTGATCTTTTCTATTAAGGCTGGTGGTAGCTCAAAGGAGGTGGCTAGGGATGTGTCATGGCCATTATTGAGTACCTCTTGGATGGTTAATTGGTCCTCGTTGTGTTGTAGAGGGCCCTCAATAAGTGTACGAATATCATATTTGAGGCTAATCAATTTTCTGTCCAAAACTTTATGTGGGTGCCTTGTGTGACATGCCACACTAGTCCTTTTTGGCACGCTTGCCATCCAGTGGTGAGGTGCTTCCAAAGTGTTGATGATTTTGCCAATGGCCTCTTATTATTGTGTATATATTTGGACAAAAGTATCGAAGCCCAAAGTGTTTGGGGGTTATGAAATAATCTTCAGGCTGTACTCGCAAGTAGTGCTTTATTTTTTCCCCTAAGTTTTTGGATTCCTAGTCCCCATGATCTTTTGGGTTAGTAACATAGTCCCATTTTAGTAAGTGAAGTCGTTTTTTTTGAGCTGTTGTGCCCCAAAGAAAATTCTTTTGAAATGATTCTAATCGATTGATTATATAATTTGGGAGAGCTATGAATTGTATTATATGGTTTGGGATGGAATTAAGGGTTGCTTTGATAAGAGTCGTACGCCCTGCCAATGATAGATGGTTTGTTTTCCAACCTGCTAGTCTGTTTTTGAAATTGTCGATAATAAATTGAAAATCCTGCTTGGTTGGTTTGGCATTGAAGATTGGGAATCCTAGATATTTTCCAAAAGACTTGCCTTCCACCATGTTAAAAGATGTAAGGACCAAATAATTTTCTGCAGGTTTTACATATTTGGAGAAGAAAACTTTTGACTTTTCAAAATTAAGTTTTTGGCTTGAAATATGAGTAAAGTGTTCAAGTTGGTCGATAATAGCATGGCAACTGGTGTTAGTAATTTTTGAGGCTAATATAATGTCGTCTGCAAAAAATAAGTGTGATATAAGGGGGGACTTTGGTTTGAGAGACTGGCTTCCATTGATTGTAATCGACAGCCATGTTAATGTTGCGTGAAAGCATCTCCATGCACATTATGAAGAGATATGGTGAGAGGGGGTCTCCTTGCCTAATACTTCTGGTGGGAGTGAAGAAATGTGTTGGGGTGCCATTGATAGTTATCGAAGTTGTTGGTGTGGTTACACACGACATGATGAGTGTAATTAAATGGTCAGGGAAGTTAAAGTAGGTTAGGGTCTGACGGATAAAAGTCCATTCAAATCTATCAAAAGCTTTTTCAAGGTCAATTTTTAAAAGCATGTTAGAGCCTTTTGATTTCGAGTTACGGAAGTGATGAAGCAATTCTTGCACGATGATTGCATTGTCTGCAGCTCTACGATTTTTTTGGAAACTAGACTGAGTTGGGTGAATAATGTTATCGAGTAAAGGCTTAATACGATTAACTATAGTTTTTGTAATGACCTTATAAATGGTATTACATAAACTAATTGGTCTAAAGTGGGCAGTGGTGGATGGGCTTTTAATCTTAGGAATTAAGCAAATATAAGTTTTATTTAATTGTTGAGTAATGTGTCCATTTTGAAAGATGTCTTTACAGAAAGGAAGTACAGAGTGCTTAATTTGAGACCAATATTTTTGGAAGAATAGTTAGTGGGTGTAGTCCGTCTGGGCCTGGCGATTTTAAAGGTTGGAATGAAAAAATAGCGTCAATGATTTCTTTGTCAGCTACTGGAGTTAGTAAATAGTTAGCTTGTTCATGTGGAATTGTATTAAAAGAAGCTATTGGGTGCTTATATTTAGCCTTAGTATGAGACGTAGTGTATAATGCTTGGTAATAGTCCACTACTAAATTTTTTAATTCGACATGATCTGTAATCTAATTACCCATATTGTCTTATAGAGCAGTTATGTGATTGCGTCTCCTACGTTTTAAGGTTGATAAATGGAAGAATCTAGTATTTGCGTCGCCATCATTAAGCCAGTTCACTCTAGATTTCAAATTCCAAAAATCTTCTTCAAGTTTCAAGATATTGTTGAATTGCATTTGAAGGTCCTGCTCGAGCATTTGTAAAAAGTTACTGGTAGGGTATTTATTTGATTTTTGTATGCCCGCTAAACGTGCTTGAATATGCTTTTTTTGGTGAAAAATATTCCCAAAAGTATCTTTGTTCCAGAATTGTACAAGGTCAATAAACTCCTCAATAATTTCTATCAAGGGAGGTTTTTTATTCCACACATGGTTGATTAGTTGAGGAAAATCATGATGGGATAACCACATCGTTTCGAACCTAATGGTACTAGTTCTTGGCGGAGCATTTTTTGGAGTGTTAATAATAACGGACTATGGTCAGAGTGAATTCTAGGTAAGTGTTGCACTTGTGCCTCCGGAAAAATATTAAGCCATTCATAATTGGCTACTATTCTATCTAATCTTTCAAGAATTAAGGCACCCTTTCTACGTTTATTAGTCCACGTATATTTACTACCTCTAAAACCTAGGTCTAGTAGGTTACAATAATTAAAGCAATTTAATATTAAGTCTGCCCTAGGGTTGTTTATAGGACAACCACCAAATTTTTCATTAGAGTATAGTATCTCATTAAAATCACCCCCCACTAACCAATGACCCTTATAAGTATCTGCTATAAACATTAGATTTTGCCATAGTAATTTTCTATTATTTAAGATATTACTAGCATATATGCCTGATAACATAAAAGAGTGTCCTTGAGGACATACCTGCACCATGCAGTGGATCTCCTGATTAGTGAGGGCAGTTTCAGTGACATGCACAATATTGTTATTCCACAAAACCACTATACCTCCTGCTTGGCCCTTCGCTGGAGCTTGTGAAAATCGAAATCGTCTCGTAGCATGGCATGATCAGCAAGGTGTGTTTCTAAGAGAACTACCAGTGGTGGCTTATAATAATTGAGCATCGATCTAAAGTTTTGCCTAAATTCCGAAGACTGTGCCCCTCGGCAGTTCCAGATGACAAATTCATAGACTTAGTGCGTGTGGGTGGTGCTAGTAGAGTCTGATGAGGCTCCTCCAGAGTTGGTGTCTCCTCCATGTGTGATGGGGTCAATTCCCTGAGCGTTGGGGTTATCACTACAACAAATTTCCCTGTCTCCGGGTTTACTGTTGGACGTAGCTTGATCAAGCATTTGGTCACTTCTGGAGGGCAGTTGAGCAATATGTTTTTGGCGTGGTGCTCCTTTAGAACGGAGATATGGCAAGCCCCTAGCCACACTGGTTCCGTTCTTGTTTCCCTCATCTCGTCCATAACTGCTACGATTTTCTGGGGTGTGAGAATTTCTTGGTCGTTTGGAGTTGGTGGTTGTGGGCTCATGGAGCTTGGTGTGGGGGTAAGTGGTTCGAATGGGCTCATTGGTGACAGTGGTATCAATGGTTGCTGCATGTAAGCGTAGTCATGTATCCATGGGATGGGAAATTGTGTTGTCGGGTAGAATGGTAACTCCTCGTAAATGTTCATCTGATAGTGGCTGCTTTGAAGTGGAGGGGTGTTCCATGTGTAGTGGTATGGCTGGGGTTGATGGTGTATCCCCCATATGGGTGAAGGATTCGTTTGTGTGTTTGCCCACTGGTACTGTTCATATAGGTTCATGGCAGCCGTCATTCCTTTCGTTACTCTCTGTGCTAGGTCCTGGGGATTTTGGAGACGAATGATCACTTCTTGGTTGTTCACTATCATTGAGAAGGTCAATGCGTGATTTTGTAACCCAATCTCGAGCCAAGATTGGGGTGGAGTGAAGGGATTTGGAGTTTGAGAGGTGTAGATTACCGGGTAATTCTGGGGTGGTGGAGTTTGGTTGGCCATTGTTGGTGGAGAGAGGAACTGAAGATTGAGTGGTCTGTATGGGAGTTGGGAGGGACGTTGATGATGAGTTCTGAGTGGGAATGTTGGTGCATTGTATGGAGAGTGTTTGAAATAGAAGAAGAGAATTGTTGCGTGTGAGAAGAGGAGAATAATGATTTTGTGGCAGTATTAGTAGTGGATGGAGGTGGAGGAAGGCGGTGGAGTATATTGTTCTTGTGTTTTGGGCTGTTCACGTGGGCTGCTTTTGTGGGATATTATTTGCATAGAGGCAGTAGATTGTAGATGGAGTGGTGTGTTGGGCTTTTGATCTACCATTTCTAGGTCATGATTGCCTACTAGTAATGTTTGCCGGCTTGTGTGATCCGGTAGAGGGTGGTTGTTTAACGGAATGGGATTGGTGGTGCGTGGAGGTGGTGTTAACGTGGCAGTTTGTGGCGTGTGCATAATGTCCATGTAGTCACTGTTCATAGTGGTAACGTGTGAATTAGGGTTTGTTTGTATATGGGTTTCTTTGGGTGAGTAAGACAATTGTGGTGATTCTTTGGGCTGGCTAGAGTCTGTGTGGGCTGCTTCAGCTTGGGCCTCTAATTCAAGGTCTGGGCTATTCTGATGCTCGTTATTAGTCATCTCTATTAAGGTAGTGTGTTCGTTTAGAATATTAAAGTTGTTATTAAGCACTAATCCAGTTGGCTTAACCGATTGTTTAGTAGTTGATGGGGCATTAGGTTTTGGGGAGAAAGATTTAGGAAGCATACCTGGGAGTGTCTCGTATGTCTCCTCTGACTTCGACCTTGTGGTAGTGTTCCCATTAGGGTCTAGACGCTGTGGTGATGTGCGTGCTGCGGTGTTCCTGTTTTGTATATGTTGGTGTCTCCCTTGTTGGTTGGTGGATCTTCGAGGGAAGACTACAGTTTTCCATTCTGAGTCATTTTGTGGATTTTCAGATGTAAGCTTGGGAGTTGACGATTGGTGTGGTAGTATGGTATTTGAAGGGGGGTGTACTGGACTATGGGGACAAATAATCCGTGTGTGACCTAGTCTTCCACAACTAACACATAACATGTTTAAACCTTCATATAGTATTTGTTGACGGTATGTCCCAATAAAGACATGGGACTTTAATGGTTGCTCTAGTGGCACTTCGATGCAAATTCGAGCATAACGGCCACGAGAAGTAGCCGATGTGCATGTATCAATTTTCAATAGTTTGCCGAGTTTGTTTCCTACTTTTTGTAAGATTTCAAGGTCATAGAACTCTGTTGGAAGCTCAGGGAGTCAAGTCCAAATTGCTGTATATGTGAGATGCGTTGTTGATGCTAGGAATTTAGGTTCCCATCGTCGTACTGAAAGGAAGTGGTTTAATACAAACCACGGTCCATTGTGCAGTGCTTTGTTCATGTTTTCCTCATGTTGATATTTTATTAAGAAAAATTCATTTCCTAGGTCAATGAGTGATAGTGTTTCAGTAGGTTTCCACATAGTTTGCAGTTTTTGCTTGAGAGATAAGTGACCCACTTTGCGTCCAAAAACTTTAACTATAGTAGAGTATTTCCAAGGATGATAAAGTCTGGATTTGTCTGTACTGGAGATGGGTATAAAATTGTCCGTCGGTTCTTGTAAAACTTCGTCAGACATGTTAATGTGTGATTGGGTATTAGAAATTGGTGGTAGTGACATAGTATGGTTATTTAATAGTGTCTGCATAAATGAAGGGTGGTTGTTATTGGTGGTTGAGTCATCTATATTCATGAGACTCAGATCTGGGGGTTCTGGGTTGGTTATTGGAGGAATATCTGTCATGGTGCTGTTGAAGAAGAAAGGAGTTGGTATATTAGGTTAGAGGAAAAATTTCTAGTGAGAGGTTAGAGCATCTCTCTCTAGATGTTCCATTATGGACTTCTAACTACTAGGAAAAAACTACTAAGTTTCTTTTTATATTATTTTTCTAAGAAACAATTTTATTCAAAAATAACTGCAGCACCAAGGAGGTAATGAGTGTATACAGAAAATCTCACAGGACTTGACTCCTTTATGTGGGCAAGGAGTCAATGAAGTCCAATGCAATTTCTATATCATTTACAACATTTGACCTCCTTCCAATAGTTTAAATTGAAGCATCAGTGATTTTTGCCTAACATATTGTTGGCAGTATCCAAAAAAGGAACTTCCTGGGGGATAGCTGGTGATATTATTTCATTCTTTACCATTGCACATTGAACTCCTAGTCACTTGTCTTTCTTTTGTGAGATCATGGTTCCATTTATTTCAAATGCTTCCTTTAGCTAGATCTGTTAAAGGCTCGATTTTCTTAAGAAAGTAGATACTTGTTCTTATGACTGCTTGAATGTGTTTTTTGATAAAGCATGTTTGAATGTGTTATTCAAGATTATTTGGTAGATCAGGATAATTGCTATTCTATCACCATGCACTTGCTAATTGTTTGCCTTCGGAACATTTCTTTTCTGAAGTTTTGATGTTTCACTGTATTCCCAGTTCAGTGTCCCCCTCCAAATGAGGAATATTTGGGAATTCTAACAAAATGTTTTGTTGAAGGTGAACATTTTCCAAGGTATAACATTGCCAGATGCCCCCAAATTTGGGAAAGTGTTTGGAGGCCAGTTTCTTGGGCAGGTAAAATTGAAATGTTCTCTTTCTCCACCACACCGTAGATCACCCACTTCTATTGTGGTTTAGCTTCATATGACCGAAGACCTCTTTGTGAATAATTATGCTTCATTCTCTATACTCTAATATGCAGGCATTGGCTGCAGCATCAAAAACTGTTGATTTTCTCAAGATTGTTCATAGTTTGCATGCCTATTTCCTTCTCGTTGGGGATCTTGACAGTAAGTAACTTCTCTTTATTATTTGATACTTTAAGCACCTCTTTTTTAACCTTTCTAATGTTTAATGATGCATAACTGCTATGCTACATCTGAAATAAACAGCCAATTTAAGCTAATACTCGTTTCTTTGTATTCCTTGGGAATCATTGCCAAAGCGCACAGCTGTATGATTTGATGAAACTTATCCGTATTTCTGCTTAAGATAATTCTCACATGCAGTCATTTCATTATGGGGTGTGGATGCAACAGTAATATTAAGCTTTTCAGTTTTTCATTGTTTAAGAGAACAGTCGTATGACTTTCAAATTTAAGGATTCATCCTAATGTTGAGGATTTCCCCTCCCTATAAAGTTAGAGAAATTTAAGCTAACCATTCATCTAGTGTTGTTTTGGAGAATCGGATATTCTTCCCTATTTATGAGTGGATGTGCATGAAATATTTTATGTCTGCTTGCGTTCAGGTTCCAAGAGGTACAATGTGTGCACAATTACGGGTTTGCATAATGCGGAACTGAAAAGAGAGATTTGTCTATGTTAATAACCTTAACTTTTTAAGTAAAAGATAAACGTATTACGACTTTCAGTTTGTCAGTATTCTTTAAAATTTGAACACCCTAAACATTTGGAGCAGAGGTTGGATTAAGACTACTGAAGAAAAGAATCAACTTGCAATGATAAAGCTTTTTAGTGCACTCAACAATTACATAAAGTTTCTTATCCAGTTAAATCATTTAGCCGGTTTTATTTTCCTTTGTCCACTTATTGTGTGCTAAGGTGGATGTTAGAAACTAGAATGATTTCCCTGCACCCAACCCCCAAAGAGAAGCCAATGAAAGAGGATGAGAGGCCCAGTGTGGGGCCAGGAGAGTGATAAACATCCAATCTGCAGGCATTAGGTATTTTTCAGAAGCTCCAAGTTCTGCTTATTAAAATTTTTTTATGCATTTTAAAATGAACCACCTTGCTAACTTTTCTTAGAATTTAAGGTGTTTTGATGAAGGCTCATTTCATATGCTGTGATGATAGGCTCGTTTCATACTCATTTCAAACAAACGTCTTCTGTTGCTAACTTGCTGCATGTGCTGTTCCTTCCGGAAGTCTTAGGATTTAAAGTCGTCAACTATTTATGAAATATGTTTTGTTTATTGACTTTCTAAATGATTGCCGTTAGATTGAGGACAGTTCACTAATTTCATGGCTAGTTGTTCTGGTCTTTCTCATGTGTTCCAGACTGAGGAGTCAGCTCAGTGGGGTAAAGAGTATTTAATCCCAATCAGAAGTATCTATATAGACCTCTTTTTTCGTTTGCCAATGTAAATCCAGTTGTCTAAAAACTCGTATCTTACCCGTCCCACACTTATGACTGTAGTTCCAATCATATATCAAGTTTACCGTGTACGTGATGGAAAGAGCTTTGCTACACGGAGGGTGGATGCGATTCAGAAAGGGAATGTCGTATTCACATTGCTAGCTTCATTTCAGGTGATGATCAACTTTTCTTCAAATTGGTCACATCTTAGGATACCCATTTTTATGGTTCGGTTTTGTAATTCAGCATAAATATGTAACCTAATTAATATGATTGTATATAGCAAGTTGATTATTCAGCATACATTCATGTGAAGGCATAAACGTGCATGCTATGTAACGAGGATTTGTGGTAAAAAAACAAACCCTGAAGAAAATGCATTCAGGAGAAGTATCAGCTTAGAAAGCATAGTTGTGAGTGAATTCGACATAACTTGGATTTCTGTTGCATCGTTGTTCCTATTCGTCATCTGTGGATATCATGTTGGCATCACATGTTGACATTAATTTCTAACCTTCTAATCTCACATTATAACGGAGAAAGTTTCAAGAAAATTAGCAAGCTTCACTAGGGAAGACTATTGGATCAGCTCTTCAAATTTCAGTCATTTCTCAAATGCTTGTTCTGCTCATTTTGAAGTCCTACCACGGAATAACTATTCTAATTTCTTCTTGATTCAACTGCTGCCCTCCCACAAAACCCCCACACTTTACAATGATGAACGGGTACTTTGATGGATCACTTGTTTTGCCTGGAATATTGCAGTAACTTTCTGGTTAGGTGCAACTTTATGTGATGCACTTTTATGTTTTCATTACACCATTATTTTTGATTGGCTGTTATGTTTGTAATATTGTTTTTGAAACTGCATGTACTATTGGTAAAATAATGTGACAGAAAGATGAAGATGGATTTGATCACCAGCAAGCACAAATGCCTGATGTGCCTGATCCAGAAACGGTAACGTGCTTATAGTTCTGTTATCTCTGCAACCTTGTTCGGAACCTCTTCTTCTTACACTTCTATTGAAACCGAATTACAGCTTTTATCAATGGAAGATTTGAGAGAAATGCGCAAGACTGATCCTCGGCTTCCCAGGTTGGACTCTGCCTACTAAGTGCTGTTATGTCACTATAATGTTTTAAGTATTTATTATAATTTGGTGTGCACGTATACTCTCTGGGAACTTCTTGTAAATTAGTGTGGTGGCTAGGCTTGCTTCGAGAAAACCATTTAAAATTATCTGGTGGAAGAGGAAGTAATTTACCAAATCGTATGGGATACATTACTGAATCTGAATGTATGCCTTTGGAAGTGTAGTTTCTCCAGCTTGAACTGTCTTATATCTCTTGAATACTTTGGCTTCAAAGTGGATGTTGTAGTACAAGTTTTTGGTTAGTCATGAATCTTATTACACATTTCTCACGGCAAGCCTGACTAACCACATCTTCACTTTTAGAAGAAATGAAATAATAATGACATTCAGTTGGGGTTGCATGGGTTCTTTCTCAAATCGGAAGTGCTAAGGTTTAGTTAGAACCTGTGAGTCTGAAATTGAATGAAGACCGAGTACCAAATAATGAATGACTTGATGGAGCAGAGCTGCTTCAGTTTAGATAGAAGAGAAAAGACCTGGGGAAAAATCTGTCCAGATGTAAAGAAATGGAAATAATGCAGAATTACTTGGAGCTGGAGGGAGATAAAGAAAGAGGTGTATAAAAGATGTGGCGGTGTTGGATGAAAAGAGATGAGAAATAGGGCTGGGTACTAGCAGAGGAGGAAGAAGTGAAACTGGACTTGTGACAGAAAAGGAATAACAGGAAAAAGGAGAATGAGATGACGAAAGAGGAGAATAGATGCTGCAGCATTGGGAGGAGCCCTCAAGTGGGATGATGGAGGGAGGAGAAGATATATGTAACACGGTTCGACACATTAAAACCATGAGATCCATACTATGTATCCATTAGTATAGATGCTGCAGTTTTGGATGAAAACAGATAAGAAAAAAGGGTACAGGCGGAGGAGAGAAGAAGTGAATTGGACAAGAGAAGGGAATAACAAGAGGGAGGAAATATCTGCAACATGGTTCCACAAATTTGTGCGCTGACATTGCTCATCTCATCCTTAAACGAGGTAGTTTAACTCCCATTTTGGAGGAAAATGCCTTTAGCTAAGGCCATTAATGCAAGGCTTCAAAGAATCAGCTCCTTTCTGCTGCTTTCAAAGATGTAAGCTAAATATAATGGAACACCTATAAATTGTTTCTTTGTAGATAGAAGCAACTGACAGGGATGGACACAAAAACTAATAATAATGTTCTATAGTGAATCTAAGATACTTTGGTATAGCAAGATGGTACCTCTTGTGACAAATACGTCATAGTTACACTTTCCAATCCTTTCTGGCCTAATTCACTTTATGCTACTTCTACTCGGACTTTCATGCTTAGCACCTAGGAAAGAATCTTAACCAAAAAAGTTACTACAAAGGATAAAAACCCTGGAGAAAATCACAAAAATTATAGCCTGTTTGGCCAAGCTTATAAAATCAACTTATTTTGAGAAGTGCTTTTACTTTTGGTGAGAAGCAGTTTGTGTTTGGCTAATTAATTTGAAAAGCACTTTTGAGCACTAATTAGTCTTTGGCCAAGCTTTTGAAAACTGCTTCTAAGTGTATTTTTCTCAAAAGTGCTTCTCAGAAAAGTGCTTTTGGAGAGATGCTACTTTTTTCTGCTTCTCAAAAACTGCTTCTGCTTCTCCTCAAAAGCACTTTTTTTCCTTCCAAAAGCTTGGCCAAACACCTCAGTTTTTGGCCAAAAGTGCTTTTGGCCCAAAAATAAGCTTGGCCAAACAGGCTATTAGACTACTAATACGCCTCAATCCTAAGTAATTTGGGTTCAGGTATAGAAACCTCACTGACCATGTCGCTCCATTTAAACTCATTTCAGTAAAAAAATAGACTACTTTGGCAAAATATCATTAGAGATGGATGCTTANTTCTGGCTCCCAGTCCAACCACCGAGCTATGGCTTATTTAGCTGTTAAGATATGTAATTCAACTGCCTGAGCTCATTCCATGTGAACAAAGGAACGCATTTGTTTTCTTTTGTTTTTTCGTAAGCAATTGGATTTTTTTTTAGGGAATCGATTTGGGATTACTGTGAGAGAATTAGTTTTTTTTTTTTTCTTGTATTGATTGTTCCTTCAAAAAGAAAACAGAACAAGTTGGAACTTGACCTTTTTTTCCTCTTTGAATTCAAATCGTTCATTAGCTGCCATCTTATGGAAGGCATCATGAAGTGGTGGAAGTAACTGTTTAGGCCTTGGCATGACAATAATTATCTTGTCTTTAGCAAGGTTTAATTGAGAATAGACATGTCATTCTTGATCTTAGCACACTAACTTAAGCCTCAAATTATTTTTGACAACTCTAGATTTAATTAATGTGAGGGACAACATATATCAGGATTCAGTGAGTTGCATATTTTCCTACTATATCTTAAGATTTGTAAATTAGGAGCTGCATAAAGCTTTTTTATTCATTTTGTGGTTACTTATTTATGGGATCTTTGGTTAGGTAATGCTAACAGTGAGTTTTGACAGGACATACCGTAATAAGGTTGCTACTGCAAATTTTGTACCCTGGCCAATAGAAATAAGGTTTTGTGAACCTAGTAATGCCACTAATCAGACCAAGTCTCCTCCAAGGTTAGTCATTGCTTTCAGCTATTAATTTCCCTTCCGAGGGACTGTAATTAACTCAACTGGACAGTTCATGTTAGCTTGTATTTAGTAGTGTATCCTCTTCATGTTTGCATCATCTCTTTTCAATGTAATGCAGTTTGAGATATTGGTTCAGAGCAAAAGGAAAACTTTCAGATGACCAAGCTTTACATAGGTAAGTGATTCCTCTTTATCAGTTCTTTCATCTAATTAGCTGAGCTTGTTATGACAAGGAGTAAAGCAGGCTGTTTAGCAGCCTCATCTTATGTACAATTATTTCCCACAAAATTATTGTTTTGAAAATTATTGCACAATCTATTTCCCACAAAATTATTATTCTGAAATTGTTCAAATAGAATATTCTTTTAACGTATCTCATTTAGAGACTCTCGTGAGTTAGATCTGTCATTGTACTAGAATAGCTCTAGTTGTAAAATGAAAGAGTTCTAAAGGACACTTGAGGTACACAAATGAACACGAATTTGTGTATCTGCACTTCTATGTAGACTCCCTCTTGGGATGGTGTATTACTAATATCAGTTCAAAAATTATTTTTATTTTTATTTTAAAAGAAAAATCAGTATTTCTTCCCTATCGGTGCATATTTACCATAAAAAGAAATTGAAATTGGGAACATGTAATTTCTTAGCAGTTAGCACACAGAAGTTTCTACATCTAAGTGGAATGAGGCCATAATGCTATCTGCATCTTTTTAATGCAATATTTATGCCGGTTGCAGATGTGTTGCAGCATTTGCATCAGATCTAATCTTTCTTACTGTCAGTCTGAATCCTCATCGGAAGAAGGATTTCAAGACAAGTTCTGTTAGTCTGGATCATTCGTGAGTTCCGACAATTTTTAGACCTTTTTGTTTTTTATTTTATGTACCAGCTTTATATTTATGGGGAATATGTCATTGTTTGCCTAAGCGAGCTTATATGGATACACTGATACATGCTGTTCTAAGACAGCTTAATGAAGTTCTTCGGGAAATGATTCCCAACTCTTAAACATCAAGCTTCCATGATTCCTTTTGGCCCCTCAAATGTCAAAGTCCAATAGCCGCATCCTTTCCCTCTCACAGCTGGTTCTCTTTACCTCCCATTTCTGTTCTTTCTGATCACCTCGGGCATGCCTAACCACAGAGAGAACTTTCATACCATCTTATCTCTCACTTCCTTTTCATCTTCCTTTTCTCCTTTTTCTTTGGGTATGTCTGGTCTGGATTATAAAGCTGATTCTTATTTCTTATATGAGAAATATGTAGTTATTATTATTAGTTAAAAGGGCGATAACCAGTCACATTTAATCAGAAAAATTATTAAATCAGGTGAGAAAATCTATTCTAAGCAGCCCGCCATGAGTCCGTGAAACCATTGCATCAGCTATGGATAAATGCACAACTTAATGAAGAATAAGAGAGCACAAAAATCAATTTGAGTATAAATTATAATAAAAACAAATACGCCTCAATCTCAAGCTAATTGAGGTCGGCTATGTAATTTCTCACCAGCTATGTTACTCTATTTAGACCCGTATCAGTCCAATATTTAAACATTTAGGTACAAATATCAATGTGAATATAAAGAAATAAAATATTTGAGCCTTAAGCAAACAAAACTGAATTGTCAAGGAAATTAAAGAGAAAATAAATTACCAAGAACCTGCTTTTGAAAAAATTTGGCTAGTTTTATTGTAACAAGATGCATGCCAAGAAACAGGTAGAGGAAATGAAGCCACCACATACCTTATCTAAAAAAGAAAAGGGAAATAAAGCCACCACATCGGCTATTTCACCTTTTACTAGAGCTAAATTGATCTAGAGATTTTAAAATTTGGTGGTGTGTGAGAAAATCGTTAAAAGATACCACTCACTTCTTTTAAGAATTCAATTCTGATTAGTAATTTTAATTCAAAACAGTATTATGGTGTTTTTGCTATCACACTTAACTATTATTTTATATTTTATTTTACTCATACAAGTATAGAGCACAGCTCTAAGTCACCTTAAAACTCCATGCCTAGTCAAATTGCAGCACACATAATGGAATAGCACAGGGAGTTAATGAGAAGAACAGGAGAGGGTAGTGGAAGGCATATTTATTTATTTGTTTTTGAGAAGGGTGGAAAGCATATTTATTCTATACTACATATATGCCTATACATGCCTTCTTCCATTGATTCCTCAGCCATGAACTATGGTCTTTTGAAGCAATTGCCATTGCCCTCTGATGGTACAGCTGCCCCCACCTGACACACCCATGGCTGATCCCTGCCTTCGGTTGGGAAAAGAAATAGAAAGGTAGAAAGACAACATAAGGTGGCAGTGGAGGGAGATGGCAGAGTGATGTTGGTAATGGAGGTCCAAAACTAGCTTTACTTTTACCGGTGGGAAGAGTTGCTGGAGTGACATTGAAGTGGTGATGAGTCATCCGCAATGGGGTTAACCTTTCCCAGATGGTGTCAGTTGGACTCTTTTTTGCTAATTACAGCTGCCAGCGGATAGTCTTTATGAGGAAAAATTAATGCATCCAAAGTAGTGATTTCTGTGATCGACATGAAAGATCTGCAAATCAGATCTTTCAGATTCTGAAATGAGTTTGATGGAATTTCCCATGACCTGCTACTCAAAAACCAATTGTTGAAAAGTGGGGCTTCCGTATTGTTTACGTGGAGTTTGAAGTTCAATAGAGTTCAGGGTTGATATTCTTACTTGAGTTGTGAGTGTCTTTCATTGGACTTGTTAAAAGCAGAGCTTTTAATATGCAACTGTACTTATATTTTCACATTTGTTTCCTTTTCCCAGGATGTGGTTCCACAGACCTTTTAGAGCTGATGATTGGATATTGTTTGTGGTAAGAAGGAAAAACTAAAGTACTTATGATGTTATTTAAGAAAGGTCATCCTTCTACTAGTGGTTTCCATTATTTGCAGCTGGAGTTCTAACTGTTTATCATTTTATAGATCACCAGTCCTGCTGCTTATAATGCACGTGGCTTTGTGTCGGGCGAATTGTTTAATAGGAAGGGAGAGGTAAAGCGCTTGATCTGTAACGTGTCTTGCTTTTGTTAATGTACTTATTTTTAATGATTGTTGATCTCCAGCTTGTAGTGTCATTGACTCAAGAGGGCTTATTGAGACCGTTCAGAAAACCACTTTCTGTCCGACCAAAGCTCTAATTCATGCCAAGTTGAATGAGAAAAGAGGATTAGTTACTACAGGTTGATTAACAGTTTAGCTGCAGAACTGCTCAAATAAGTCCGACAGAGGTTGCGAGTGAAGACAGCTACTTAAGTTGTGGACGAGTCCAGAAAATGAGACATGACTGTATCTACATGTTATTATACAAAATGGTCCGCCATTGTTTCTATACCTCTCACCTCACCTTTATATATTACTGAGCCGCCAAAAGAGGCATTGAAATTATTATATTGATCAACCTACGATTGTTAAAATTATTGTTTTTACAAGTTCCACCAAAGAAACTCTCGATGTATCTCAGGGTATATACTGTTCTACATTCACCATTAGAAATAAAAGGTTTGCAAATAATGCTTTGGTTTCAAAGAGGTTAGTTCATGTCATTGGTTAAATTTCTTTAGTTCACTCGTTTATTGACATTTAAGTGTCAAACAAGATTCGGAAGTTTTGTCAACTTATATTAGATGTAGATTTATTTACCATTTCAAAGCCATAGAACGAGCTTTGTGTAGTGGGATCTATTTAATTTGGAATTGAGATGATGTTGAATATTTTAATAGCCTGAAAACAACACTAGATTGTTCGGTTTTTCTTTTTTGGCATTTTGTTTCACAGTACACACTTCACACAACTGTTGGAAAACTAAGTAGGCGTTTGGACAAATCTGAGTTGAAGTTGAAAAGGAGTATACAAGTCCAAATAGCTTTTAGTTATGAAGTTTACTTGGAAAAATATTGTAGGAGTTCTATAACTGGAAGTTGAATACTGAAAAAAAAGAATTATTTGAAATAATTCATCTTCCAAGTACTGTGAAATAGAAATAGTTCATAATTTGTGGGTTGCAATTGTAGTTTTCATTTCTTTAGCTATCATAATCTAAGCACAAATATTTTTCGAAAGAAGTATCTCAATACTAATCCAAACGCACAAATTATCTATCCCCCCAAAATTATTTTTCAAAAATACTTTTTAAGAACTAATTTTCGGTTTTTAGTAGTTACTCCAAGAATAATCTAATGGAGTGGGGCAAAATATAAAATTAAATCGGCCCACCGAAATTAATCGCATTTGCTAGCAGAAAAATATATAAAATATGTATATGATACACACATATATACACATACACATATACATATATATATATATATATATATATATATATATATATATATATAAAGAATATTTTGTCGGCTATTTTTTTGAAGCGGCTAAAGTTAAATATTTCTCTTTGGGTGATATGCATAAATAGAACATTTCGATGCCACTATTGATTTTTTGACCATGCTTGAAGAATGTGCAGAATTTCAAAGTTAATAATTGTCGTCTCTCTGGCTTGGCCTATGGGCAACACTTTTGGGTTTTGACATTAAAGGTTTGGCCATTGGGCAAGTGAGAGTTAAACAATAAAGATTATCCATTTTAAGGTCATTGATGTAATTTCGTAATTTAAGGCCCTCTATATTTGGTTCAGCCCAAGCAACATACAACTTCTACAACTTTATAGTTTCTATTTTCTACCCCAGAAGACTTGCAAATTACGTACCTTCCTCCTGAACAAATTGTAAATTTTTCCTTTTCGTACTTTCATCATTCCGTATTTCATCTGAGATTGTCAAATGCAGTCATGCAGTAATCCAAAGGTCAGTTCTTGCTATTCATTTTTCTCTTTCTTTTTCTTTTTCTTTTTTGCTGGAAATTTGAATTACTCAGAGGTGAATTTGTGCATAGTCTTGGAAGAAAATATGATGTAAATATAATTACTTCACCTGATCTGTTGATTTTTGTGCAATTACTCAAAAGGTCTTCGAATTAGCTTAACTTTTTATTGAATGTTTTTTTTTTTTTAATATAATTCTGGATCTCTGAATTTGAGGGATCTGAACTTTGGACCTTCTTTTGAGCATATCTGAGATAATTGCGAATCATTCAAGATTTTCTTTTTCTATTATGTTTTAATTTTTTTAAAAAGTTATACTGAATATTGTGATCAAAATTTAGGTTATCCTGTTTTCTTAAGTTTTTTCGTTTGATTCTATTCTGAATACAAGTTATATTGGTATGCTAGAGATTTTACAATATCTGAATTTCCTGTACCTTAATTCCACCCAAGATAATTGGGCTGTCAGTGTAAAGATAAGTGTGAGATTTAGACTACTCGTATTGTTAGAGAATGCCTAGTCTTAAAGCTACTACATTATTGACTATTGAGCATTGGAGAGAAATGAGTTTGAAAAGGGCTGAATCAATATTAAGGATCCAACTAGTTTGGGATTGGCGCTTAGTTGATTGATTGATTTAATCTGATATTTGCAATGACCTTTACTCTTCTTTTTCGGGGAAAGGGATGCAGTGTGCTTCTGGTATTTGTAGTTACAATATTTTTCGAGTTCTTGATTGCCAGGAGAAAAAGAATTATATTTCTTTGGTCTTAACATACTCCTAATATTCTTTGGATCTAATAAGATGATTGGTTTCGGCTCGTGCAAAAGATTGAGCGATTTTACTGATATTGATTAGCTTGTGGATCTTTGATTTATAGGGCACAAAAACAAACATGGAAGGATTTTATTCCGAGTCGGAGAATTTTGTTCAGACAGAAAATACGCTGGATAATGACCAGTCGGTGGAGGTTGAGAACAGTGGGCCGGGGAGAAATAGTGAATCGGATCCAGAGGTATCACCATTAATTCCTGGGCTTCCTGACGACATTGCGCTTTTCTGCTTGGCAAGGGTTCCTAGAAGGTATCATGCGCTTCTCAAGTGTGTGTCAAGAAAATGGAGAGACTTAGTTTGTGGTGAAGAGTGGTACTCCTACAGAAAGAAACATCATCTCCAGGAGAGTTGGATATATGCCTTAGGTAGAGACAAGTCTGAACAGCTGTGCTGTTATGTATTGGACCCGGCTCGCTTAAAAAGGGGATGGAAGCCTATTCTAGGACTTCCGCATCGCTGCATAAGGAGAAAAGGTGTGGGATTTGAAGTGTTAGGGAAGAAACTATTCCTATTCGGTGGATGTGGCTGGATCGAAGATGCTACAAATGAAGTCTATTGCTATGATGCTGCCATGAATAAGTGGAATCAAGCTGCTTCCTTGGTGGTTCCAAGGTATTTTATCCTTGTTTTGCTTGGGAGTATTTTGAGTTTTGTAGAGTCAATCTATTAATATTCACTTGCCAATCGAATCTTTTATGACTTCAAATTTCTAAATGCTTGTATGTTCTTTTTCCTGAGAGCACTGTTGTGATTATTGTTTCCTCCGATGCAGGGGTCTCTCTCTTTTGGTGCATTTATATTGTTCTATAAGTTTTCATGGTTATTGCCAAGTCGCCTCACCCTTATCCTACTGATAAGAAGAATCTACCATTTAAGCATTTTTCATACTGTTGTATTCATTCAAGTTAGCCTTCTGTCATTTCATCACTGTTTGGCGAAATATGTCAGAGCTCATCTGATTCTATTATCTTCAGGTGCTACTGTGTGTCTGAAGTGTTCGATGGAAAAATCTTTGCAATTGGGGGCATAGGGCCTAATTCCAGTAATGTACCTTCCTGGGAGACTTATAACCCGGAAACACTGAATTGGACTTTGCGTGAAAATTCCAACATTTTTCCTGATATTGAAGATTCCATAGTCTTGGATGGGAAAATTTACATTTGCGGTGTTTCTTCACCTCTAACACCTGCAGTGCCTGCATTTTTCTTTGAACCATCCAGCACCACGTGGCAGCCGGCAGCTTTTGACTTAGCATCAGGTTGGCATGGTCCAGCAGTCGTTGTAGATGGAATGCTTTATGTGCTAGATCAGTCTTCAGGTACCAGGTTGATGATGTGGCAAAAGGATATAAGGCAGTGGGTGGCAGTGGGGAGATTGTCACCCCTATTGACAAAGCCTCCCTGTCGGCTGGTGGCCGTTGGGAATAACATATTTATTATTGGAAAGGGGCTTAGCACTGTGGTATTTAATGTTGAAAATGCAAGGAACATGGATGGGGTTTTGATGAGCACTTCCATTCCCAAGTCAATATCTGATGATGATGTAATAAGTTGTAAAGCAATCACAATCTAAGTCTAGGAATATTGAAGTGTAACAGCTTGCTGTGACTTGTTACGTTCTTGGTTTAATGGATTTTCATAAATTGTAGTTATTGTACACATTGTGTTGGGTCGACTAGTATCTCTTCATACAATGAATTTCCATTGAAAGCATTTAAGATTTGGTGTGGAATCTTCGTTATGATCATACTTGCTTATCTAAAATGGTTTAGCAATTGACTGAAAGAATCTAGCAGATGACATGTTAACTTCGCACCATTTGGCATGGCTACATGAGAAGAAGATCGATATCAAGGGCTCTCTTTAGGGTGGCAACTTGCGAGCATGATAGAAGAAAAAACAAAGGTGAAATAAACGAAGGAAAAGAATAGCATGAATGCAATATATGGCCATTTGGTGCTAAAATAAGTGTACGACTCGGATAGCCAAAAACAAACCAAACACTTCATCCTTTTCAAGAATTACACAGTCAGTTTATGCTCATGTCAGCTTCACAGTTTTATACTGTTACGCCGAATGCAGATCTTGAAAATCTTCCAGATTGTGAGCTAAAATCATATCAATCAATCAACTATGCCTTAATCTCAAACTAATTAAAGCTGACAGCAAAAATCCATTGTAACCATTCCATGCTAATCATACCTGTAGGTATTCCAGGTTTTGATCTTTTTATATGCTGACCATCAGCCCACTGCAATCTTTTATTACGACTTTGCTTCAGGAAACTCACACGGGCAGATTTACCTTCATGAATAACAGAACCCTTGAAATTCAGTTGTCCTTGTAACCTTGTTAATTACAATCATTGGCATCAATATTGGACCATTTGCAAACAAGGAGTATAGTGAATTAGTGATCAGCCAACCACATGCCTGACGACAACCAAACACGGCCTATGTACAACAATGTCAAGAGGTAGAAAAGATTTTGGCAGATAGCATAGCAAAAATCATAACCTTAATAAAACAGCTTAGAGAAAAGTAATTTCGGTCCTTTAAGTTTGCCAAAGTTGAGCACTTTTTATCCGTCAAATATTTAATAAACTCTGGCTGTCAGATTAGGGAAGTCATTTTTCCCATTCTGATGGAAAATGTTTCCCTTGGAAATTGACTTCCACTGTATATACCACACACGGAAAAAGGACTTCCATTAGCTAAACGCACCCTTACAATAGAATGTGTTCCTTAACTGTGGTCGCTCTTGGTTAGAACTCCATTTCTTTAGAATAATTCTCCATGAATTTTGCAGCGTCCTGTGCTGTTTAGGATAGTCTAAGCGAAATAGTCAATACCATACCAAGCAGATTTAGCAGGGGCTTGTAAGCTAGTCCTTTTCCTTTTAAAGGCAGGATGTATGACTCCGTTGCATGATTGTAGTTTATCAATCCTTGCCATACATTCCTTCATCCTATTCAATACAACAGGTATAGCAGAAGCACTCTCCAAATTCTTCTTTTTAAGGAGCTGTACTTTCTCAGCTTCTTTCTGCTCCTCTCCAGCTAACATGGCAATATTACCAGATTCAGTTGGTCCTCCAACATCTGCAAAGAGACCAGGATAACAATTACAAACAAAACAAAGAGTTCCTAAAAATAATTTAGTGAGCTTTTAACTTGAAGGTAGATAATCTTAGACTGTCATATTAAAACTTTATACAGAAAAGGTGAGGCTCCTAATAATGTCAATATTAAAACCTAATGAGAAGATTTGACTAGGGTGCATTTAGCACTCATCACACTATGTGTATATTTCAAGCCTTTTAATTCTCAAATATACGATGGACTTGATCATTCCAAATTGGAAATAATACTATAATACTACCCCTTGCGCTCAATGCCCTTTTCTGTGAGTGGTCGAAAAATGTATCAATTTATTTGGGACAGTAGGTGGAACCAGACTGTATTCATTTTTTTCCCAAATCATTATTGCCACAGTAAATGCTGTTTTTGACATTTTTCATTAGTCTCAAGAAGTTACCTCTTACATACTCAGGTTTTCTAGTTAGCTTTGAACAATCAATCATACAATTATGAACATGGAAGAACTTGCTATGTGAAAGTAGTGAACAACCTAAGAGAGATATCGAGCAACCATTCATTATTCCTAAAGGTGCAGTCCAGAGGGCTTTGGTTCACAATATGTGGGTTAATGGCACGCCACAAGTTCGAACCCTGCCATGGATAAAAACCTGATTATTTAAGTGGACAAGTGTAGAGAGGCTGAGCCATTCACGATCGAGTTTCGAACCGTGTAAGTAGCTCGCCCTCGGGGATTCCGCAGTTATCCAAAAAGCAGTGTAAGGGATAATTATGATACCATCTGCACAATGATTCAACAACAACAACAACAACATACCCAGTATATTCCCACATGTGGGGAGTACAATGATTCAACAAATTGGAGAAAAAACAGATGGAAAGTTTCAAAACAATGATGTTAATCCAAGATTCCTCGCCAACTATATTTTCCTCCAATTCAGTGTGGCACGTTCATACAGTGATTTACTAGATTCCTGAAGATCAAAGCTTTAACCAACCCTCTTTCCAGGTTAACTATTCTTATAATGGGTACATGCTAACTGAAGAATTTAACTATAGACAGAAGAATAAGGAGACAATTTTGTATACAGACAGAGACACCTGATATCCTTTCAAACTCATTCATGACGCCATTCTCCCCGATGTGCTTTGAAAAATTTGGGACGAGAGGATTCGGCTCTCACCACAAACATAGAACCTGAAGAAACGTGCTAGTATGACTAAAACTTAATCTCAATTAATTGGTATTGCCTATATAGATCTTTTTGTTCCATTACGCCTTATTTTTTGTTCAATTAATTGGTATTGCCTATATAGATTTCCATGATTTTGTTCCATTATAATTCCACTAATATTATATTCCACCAAATTCTAGTCAAACACCACAAAATGACTTGAAATAAACACAATGGTGTTCTTAGGTTTTGTCAAACAACTCTGCTGCAATCCCAAACTAGTTAGGGTTCATTCTGCTCTTTTCGGCTTAATAAATCAACCAAAATTTGAGCCTCTATTCACCTGTTTTGTCTTTTTCTACACTAACATTGTACCAGAAACAGCAGAATGAGCTTATAAATTACAACAGATATTCAATAATTTCACCTCCAGATAAAGAAAACTACAATAAATTATAGAACTAGTAGTTCTAGAACGTTAATGAGCAAAATATATACAATTAAAACATCATTCTTCTGATAATAAACGTACCGGAGCTGCATGGATCACCGGATTGAGATTCGGATCCATCGCCAAAACGGGTCCCCAAAACGGGTCTTTGAGCAGCAAAAATGGAAGAGATATCAGTTTTAAGCTGACCAAGAATTATGCCCCTGTACTCCGCTATTCTCTCAGCCTTTTGCTTAACTTCTTCCTCCAGTAATCCTACTTCTTCCTCCAGTATTCCTGCTTCTTCCTCCAGTATTCCTGCTTCTTCCAGCTCTGGTACGTCATCGTTTTGCTCTACAGTTTGCTGCTGAGCTTGACCCAACATTCTAGAGCGGGGATTGGTCGAGTTTGAAAATTTTTAAATGAATTTTGAGGACCGCATTTTAAGTAATTGTTACTCCTCCTCCTCCTCCTCC